GACGGCGATCTGACTAAGTACAAGGGAATGCCCTGTATACGAAGATCGGTACCTGGAGGAGCCGAGTACGCTCGACGGGTATACGAGAACGCTCGCATCGGAGATAGAAACGGTACCAAGGACGCTCGTGTACCTAAAAGAAGGCATAGAAGACGAGTACGCTCGGTGGACTACGAGAACGCTCGCAGCAGGATTGTTTGCTGTCTAGCAGCGAACAAGATCTGGTGATTAGGCGTTGTGACGTGACATTTTCGTGGTCCGTCACAAGGGCGAGTAAGCCCGATCGAGGAGGGAAATTTGAGGTCGGAAACCCCACCGCGGGGGGCAACGACCTCTCCCTCTTAATTCTCTTTTTGAGCGTTGTAGCGATCTACGCGAGTCGTGGTAAGTGGCCAAACTCCAATATTGTGATTGAGGTGGAGCAGCTTTCGTGGGACCTGCGGGGGATTCAGCAGGCAGGACGACGGAGGCCCGGACGGCGTGCAGGCAGATCCATAATAAGGGCAAGTAGAAATACCCTTGCTGGTATAATTCGATTTCAGACACAGTCGCTACCGTAGTTACCGTTTCAGATTCGGAGCATATCGAGGCCGGTGGACGCACCGATAGAGATGACGCCCGAGAGGGAAGCGCGCTCTCACACGCCGGAGAACCGGGGTGGAGTACCCGAACAAGGAGCTGTCATAACGAGCCAGGAAAGTAGAATCAGGTCGGAACCTGGCCAGTTCTCGGCCGATTCAAAGAAGGTTCGGATCCGGAAACGGAAAAGGCCGCGAAGGGCGTTAACGGCAGCTGCCAGAAGAGAGAGACCGGGGTCACCTTGGAAAAGCGTCACCGAGGGCCGATATATCGAGGAGCGACACGAGCATCGAGAAATCTGGGAAACATCGAAGGATCAAGAATCGCTAATCGATAGCGAGGATCTACATGCGCAGGACGATGCGCGGAATGTCACCGCTGTCCGGCGAGCCTCGCTGTCGTCACTGTTCGGCGAGTCGGCAACCTGAGAGGAGCCTTGAGGACCACAACGGGCGTACCGACGATTTGTAAGGCCACCACTTCGACTTCGCGGTAAGAGCGGTATCAGTAGGCGGCCCGAGCCTCGCGGAAATAAGAACCCGCATAGTTTTCGTAAAAGAGTATT